GGGGTTCACAGGAACGCAGGGTGGGCCTGGGGCGGGGGCCGGTAAAAAGCATGGCCCCTGACTGCCCACCTCAGATACAATAAACAACAGCTCAGCCGCATCTACCCCAAGGGCACCCGCGTGGACTCCTCCAACTACATGCCCCAGCTCTTCTGGAACGTGGGCTGCCAGCTTGTGGCCCTCAACTTTCAGACCCTGGGTGAGCACCAGCCTGCCTCGACCCCCCGGCTTCCAACCTCGCCAGTTTCTGCTCTGCGACCCTGCTGACCTTGTCCGAAAGGACTTCTGACTTCCTGATCCCAGATCTCCAGACCAAACCAAGACCTTGGCTCACCTCAACTCCTGACCTTGGCTGACCTTTCCCCCTGATCCCACTTGATCTGACCCTCCCGGTCCCCGGTCCTCCCTCTGCATTGAACTGTCCTTCCCGACTCCTGACCCCAGGGGGCTGGCTGACCTTTGCCGTCCCCACGTCACCCCCAGATGTGGCGATGCAGCTCAACGCGGGTGTGTTTGAGTACAACGGGCGCAGCGGCTACCTGCTCAAGCCCGAGTTCATGCGGCGGCCGGACAAGTCCTTCGACCCCTTCACCGAAGTCATTGTGGACGGCATCGTGGCCAATGCCTTGCGGGTCAAGGTGGGGCCAGGGGAGGGCCCCGGCAGGGTGTCCTGGGGGCGGGACTCTTCGCAGCCACCTCACCCTCCTGGCCCCCTCAGGTGATCTCGGGGCAGTTCCTGTCCGACAGGAAGGTGGGCATCTACGTGGAGGTGGACATGTTTGGCCTCCCCGTTGACACACGGCGCAAATACCGCACTCGGACGTCTCAGGGGAACTCATTCAATCCTGTGTGGGATGAGGAACCCTTTGACTTCCCCAAGGTGAGCCCGGGGCCTGCACCCGCCCCGCCGGGCCCTCGGGGCAGCAGGAAGCAGGTGCATGGGTTGGTGGTCAGGAGTCGGAAGGCGGGTGCGCCTGTCACCTCCAGGCCCCGCGTGTGACAGGGTCAGGCCTGGGCTCCTTGCCCTCTGCAGCCTTTAAGAAGAGGACAGGAAGGTGAGACAGCAGGAGGGCCTGCAGCGCCCCCCATGAGGAGCGGGGGCAGCCCACCCCCTCGCTCAGGCAGGAAGGACCTGTCCGAGATCACAGCCGCAGGCTCACGCCAGCTCTGGCCCGCCTCCCGGACGGACTGGACCTCGGTGCGCCGCTAGGGTGGGTGTGGCTCCGTCCCGGACTCAAGGCTCACTGGACAGTTTCTAACCTGGCCATGACCAGGACCGTCCCATGAGAGCGGTGCCTGGAGGGGTCTGCCCGTTCTCTCCGCTGCTCGCCATCGGTTTGGCCAGGCCGTGGAGGCCACCACTGGTTCAGTGGCGACGGTGACCGATGGTCAGTGATTGGGTCAGCTCGTCTGAGGGGCCACTCGGAGCGCTGGCCTTGGTGGGTGTGGTCAGCTGTGGCCCTGTGGACGCGGTGGCCGTGGGTCAGTTCCCTGTCTCAGCACCGGTCTGGGCCCTCAGGTGGTGCTCCCCACGCTGGCTTCGCTGCGCATCGCGGCCTTTGAGGAAGGCGGCAAGTTTGTGGGGCATCGGATTCTGCCCGTCTCTGCCATCCGTTCAGGTGAGGCCAGCTGGGCTCTGGGAAGCACAGGGGCGGTGTGTGCGGGTACCCGGTGGGGCCCAGCCACCTTGCCGTCCCCCCCCCCCC